TAGGAAACTAAAATCACTTGATTTGCATCCATGCTTTGATTGATTAATGAGTCAAACTCTTGGCATAGTCTTTGTAATGAGGTTGCTTCAAAGTTGATTTATCATCATCATCAGTGCTATTTTGGAATGTAAACACTGATATTAAAAGAAAAAGGTCAACCACCTTTGAGAGTTAAAGTGCCAGATTGTATTCTTACTCATATTAATGATTAAATTTGCTGGCAAACACTTGGGTGCAGTGCCTGGTAGAAAAGCAAGCTTGCAGGTCAGCATCAGATCTTGTTTTTTGTGATATGATGCACTAGCCTTATTTATAATAGAGAATATTTGGTTGCATATTGTCTTTGGTACCTACACTGTGGATTGCAAAATCCTGCATAAGAGCCTGTGGAAGTATGAATAAGAAATGAAGCATTATGATAAGCTGTAAGATTCTTCTGTTCTAAAAGGTATTGACTGCTGGTGAGCTGTACTGTGAAGCAAATGATTTCTTATGTGATCTATGAACACTTAAGAAAATAATATCTCAGAGGAGATTAAAAGTGTATGTTATGATAGCTAAAGAGCTGTTAAAATATTTATCTGCTGCTGTTTGTAAATCCATGAACAGCTTAATCTAATTGTTACGATACAGAAAGTCTCAGGTCACTAATCCAACAATTAGTAGCCGGAGCGTAACTGACCATGCAAATACTTTGACTCACAAAAAGGAGTATTTTATGTTGGTAAATCCTTTTTCCACAAATTTCAGTGGGAAATAGTAACATTTCCAAAGATTATGCAGGAAAATTAAATAAAAATGTTAATATTAATTGTATCTGGTACAGAGTCGACAATAGCTTGGTTACCTAAGGCTGAGCATCGCCTTCCCCCACAGGGAACACATCTGTTAATCATGCTAGGCATTACTCAACTTCAGTTGGCATCAGCAACATTTTAGGTGTAATCGAAATTATCATGACAAATCTTTCCCTAAATTGACAAGGCTCTACTTTTGACACCACTCATTACTTCAGCACAGCCTCGTACTGATCTGAGGAATGCTTAAGAGGTTGGACATGTTAGGGAATCTTTTAAGAAACAAACAAACACCATCACCAGCAAAGGGGTTCTTGCCAGACATGAGTTATAATGAGCTCAGAGCACTTGTGAGAACAGCCAGTAGGGACAGCCATAGTTGATGATTTCTCCAGTGACATACTGTGCTGATTTTGGACTCTGGGACTGCACAAAAAGCATTTGTCTTGCTGCAAACAGTGCTTCTCCTTTGTGTTGTGATGAGTAGCTGAGCAGTGTTTATTGATCACCAAGCTGATAAGGCAACGTTTGAGAATTCTGCCCTTTCTGGAGTGTCACCTTATCTGCATAATAGCAGCTTGCTAATGTACCATCCCTGTTATTTTATAAAGTAGTTTAGCACACAGAGTGGGCACTCCTGCTTCCTAGTATTCAGTGAGGACAAGATCTCATCCAAACTGTTCAGAATAAACTGTCCTGAAAGTTTTCTGACACCAGTTTCATGTTGTAACACAGCCACTGGGTCTGCCCAAATGAGCAGGCAGCTTGTACTGAAGCAGGTAACTGACAAATACTCCAGCTGTTTCAGTCCTACTTAACGTGGGATTATTTTGTTTAATAGCTGGAGACTGTTTCCAAAAGCCACAGTCATCAGAAAGGTTACATTCTGCCATCTATCTTTGTACTGAAGTCCCATTGGGGTGTCTCAGCAGGCTACTCCCAAAACACAGATGTTTCTGGCTATTCATTCAGCATTTTAGTGCCGCTGGATACCTCTAGCTTTTTATTACTGGGAGCTTCTTAAAATGTAAATAGTTGTGTTTTTTTCTTTCTGAAATCACCAGTGCTGTCTCCAAAGTAACATAACAGTAGAAATGACTACATAGGTACCTCTGGGCGGTGCGTGCTCTGTGTCAGTAGAACTCACTAAAAATTAATAGAACTTTTGTCTGCGTGGAACTTCAACCTGAAAGCCTCTATGTCTAGTTTTTAATCAGGAAACTTCCCAGGACTCCACCAAAGAAAGAAACTCGAGGATTTGGCGAGTAAGAAGTGGATATATGTGCATATCTGTCTCCCTCCTTGAAAATTCAACTTTGAGGGAACACGGTGTGTATTTTTACTCTTCAAGGTCCTGGAAGGTTTCAGGGTTTATGAAGAACAACCTATTTTTACAAGCATGGAAAGGCCCTTAAGTGTGACCACTGGCATCTTAAATTAGTCATAGCTGGTCTCAGGAACATCACAGTCCATGTCACCCATGTCATTTTTGTCAAACGTGGAGGGAAATGCCTTTTTCTGCCACTTCCATGTCCTTAAACATTCCCATTTAACATTTGTAAGCTGATGTAGAACTTATATGGGTGTAGATTTTGAAAGGATAGCAATTTTTTTCCCATCTAGATGGCACAAGATACGCTGAAAACAAAGGCGTTAAAATACCTTAGTGGCTTAGGGCTTGTGGCAGTGAAAGATACTTCCTTTTCACTGCCTTTTTTGCATCAGTCTGAAGACACTCAAGTTTGTAACCACTCAGTTCACTCAGCAGCCTAGCAAAAATACTAAGGCAGTGTAATTAGTGCCTTTATTTTTATTACATCTTCTTTATGGATATGTAACCCACTGGATTCTTTTTGAGGTAGCTAAGCTTGCTGTGGTGCTAACAGGGTTCCCTCCTGCAGCAGCGTGGGAAAAAACACATTTAGAAGATATCAATGAGTGCAGGACTGGAAGGATAGAACTGAAACCCAACAATATCTCAGATCTCTGCTCCCTGCCTCTTGTTCTTCTTTGCTCTTGTAGGAAAATTTACCCATAGAGCTAACAAGCCACCAGCCCCAGTGTGACAGAGATGAGGGACTAAGCTGATGCCTTACTCAGTTTCGCACTTTTAGAGGCTGAATCTCCTACAGGATTTTCTGCTAAATGAAACTGATGTGTATGTCCACTGTGGAGGCAACAGATGGAATTCTTGTTTTTAAGATGCCATAAAGACAACTGTTGTAAAAAGAAGGATGAGATGGAGCCATTCACAAGTCACAGCCTGTATCTGTATTCCCTACTGCGCGGCTCAAGGTCTGTCCTGGAAACTGTCATCATTGAATACTATTAGCTGATACAGTGGTAGCCACGGGCTGTCAAACATTATAGAAAAAGAAAAAAAACAATCTCAGAACGATTAAACTTCATTAAACCAAACACAATCAAACCATGAAGTATTAGTTTGTCCTCACATCAGCCAAAGCTGATGTGTCTTCATGCATCTTTCCTTCTGAATTGTTGATTTTTGATCATGATGACTATCTCATCTTTCATTTTATGGTAAAATAGGTCTTTTCAAGTGCCAGTAAAGAGTGTTGTGATAAACATATGTTCAAGAATGACACCCTGCGTGTTGATTGAGATGCTTCCTATGGCTGTTTGTGTTTATGATATCAGCAACCAGTTTTCAATCGTTCCACAGACTTTGATAGCAGAGGGCCCCCTTACCTTTGCTTGTAAAGGTTTTGATTCTGCTTTCACAGAAAGGAAGAATTGGTTCAAACTTTTCGCTGCCTCTTGTGACTGTGAAGTAGTTGGCTTTCTGTTCACTCCAGTTTGCAAGTTTTTAAATCAAAAGATGCTAAAGAAGATGCAGGTGTCTCTGACTGAACTGACATAAGATAATGCATAAACACTAATCCAAAGGAGGTTGCAGGATGTTAGCTCTCGTGCCTGAAGTAGCTGCAAACTATAAAGGAAGCAAACTAAGAATAAAGGTGATAAAAGGTTACCCAAAGGATGATAGAAAGGAATTCAAACACTGTGGGTGTCACTGTGTGCAATGTGAGATAGGCAAACATTTCTCTTTCCCTAAACTTTTTAAGATTGAGATATAGGAGAGGTGAGTATGTATGGAGCCACCTGAGTGATGCTTCCACGACACCTGCAGCCTGCTGGTGTCACAGGGCACTGTACTGCTGCGGTGTGAACTGCTGGAATTAGTTGTGGACAATAATGAAATAGGGATAAAGTTTGTTTTTCAGTATTGACCGTTTTCTGGGTAGTGAGCTGAGAGATCCTGTGACCCTCTTCTGAAGTTCTAGAGGAAACACATGGGAGGAGGTATTTCAGTACCAGCCCTTGCTACTAGCCTGTTAAATTCTGAGGGTTCTCCCTTCCTGCATTCCTCCTTTTCTGGGCAACGAGTATTTTATGCTACAAGTGTGAACCCTTAGCCTTTATCACCAGGCAACCACATTAACAAGACATCCCTAACTATCTTACAGAGCGTGCTTTCATTCTAGCAGTTCTTCCATCTGTGTCATTCACCATTCACGCACACTCCTCCATCTGCTAGGCAGGGTCTGTTCTCCCTGTGTGAGATTTCAAAGCACCCAGGCACCTGCCTGGCTCGCAGATGGTGTTACTCCTTCACAGCGTGGAGGCATCACTGCCAACACAGCGACTTTCGGGGAGATGAAAGGGGCCGATGCAGTTAAGAGCTTCCTGAAGATGTGCCAGGACTCTGAGCTAACAGTAACTATTGTGTGTGATCTGTTTGTTGCTGTCAAACTGCGCAGGAGGTGAGGCTTTGTAACAAGTCTCCTACCTACTTTGGGAAAAAGAACCTCTCAACTGCAGCACGAGGGCAGAAATCCCGCTCTCCCATTAAAACCACCCCAAAGAAACCTTTTTCTGATCCAGTGCTAACTTTTCTAGATGCTACTTCATACCACTCGAGTTTTTTTTCTCCCCTCGATACTATTTGTTGCCAAGGAAAGAAGGCTGGCGCGGCAGCAGAAGGCAGCTACGCCCGTGCCCAAAACTAAGTTCAACTCCGAGGGAGGCGAGCGGTCCGTGCCCCGACGGAGCTTGGCGGAGCGGGATCGCGGGGAGAAGGGAGGAGCGGCGGCTCCTCTGCGGGCGCCTTCCTGCAAATCCCCCAGCTTTTGGGTTTCGGGGCTGGGAGCTGGGGAGCGAGACCTCGCGAAGCGCCTTACCCCCTCCATTTTTGTAGCAGAGGTAGGGGAACCTCCAGACGTTGGCCAGGTCCACGGCGAAGCCGATGACGGAGAGAAGGAAGTCGATCTTCTTGCCCCACGTCTCCCTGTCCTGGGGGCCGTAGCGGGGCGCGGGGGCGGCGGGCAGGAGGTTGCTGCTGGTGTATTGCACGCCGTTGTGCTCCTTCACCAGGATCAGCTCCACGTCCTTCCGCGGGGGAGGCGGCCCCGGGCGCTCCGGCAAAGGGGCCACCACCGACACTTTGCGGTCGGGCTGGATCTGTTTGTTCATCCTCGCCTTAAACATCCAGAGAGAGCGAGCTTGAGGCGGGGGAGCGGGCGAGGCGGGGCGGGGAAGGGAAGGAGGGAAGCGCGCTGCCCGCTGCAGGCGGCTCCGCTCTCCAGCCCGCCGGTGTCAGCGCTGCAGGAGCGAGGCACGGCCGTAATAAGAGCCATGCAAATGAGGCGGGAGAAGGGGGGACCGGGGTGCCCCCAGGGAGCGGGGCTTCCCGCGCCCTTCCTCCGCGGGGGAGCGGCCGGCAGCCGGCGCACCTGGGGCCGCCCTGCCTTGCCCGGCCCGTCGGGCACCGAGCGCAGCCCGCCCCGCGCTGCCCAGCGGGGCTATCGGGGATCACATTCGGGCCCTGCCCTGCCCTGCCCTGCTCGCGCGTCCACGGCCGGGCGGTCCGAAGTCGGCTGGCGGCAGGTGGAGCTGAACCGCACCGCTCACTGGCTGAGATGCGGGACGGAGGCAGCTCTCCCTGCGTGCTTGGGTTAGACGCTAGAATTTGGCTTTTGTGATCAGAACCCGAGGGGGTGTAGCATGAACGGCGGAGCTGGACGCTGCTCTTAGTCCCATGCTAAAACCGATCGATGCCCGACTTTTGCTTTCCTGGAAAGCACAGGTAGGGCTTGGTTATCAGGCTGCAGTATTTGTATAACATTATTTACTGTTCTTCTAAGTGGGACCCAGATCTTTTAGATGTAAAACGAGCAAACAATTAGCTAGCAGGTCAACAGCGGCTGCTGCCACAAGTGGTCTAAATAAGTTGGCAAACAGGGCTTTTCGGGCCCACCTCATATTGCAGCCACAAGCTGTAGCTGTCCCTTCTGTGTCTGCTGGGCAAAAAAATTTGAGTTACAAAAGCAGAAGAAACAGGCTGCTTCCCACCAGTGAGGTTAAATAACTTTCTTTCTGCTTCGAATCAATGAGAAATGGTCGGAGGCAGGACTGTCTGTGGTGCTACAGCCTACCACCCTTACTTGCTCTGCTAGGACTGATAATGCGTGTAAAGGTACTATTCAGTGAGTTCACAAACAATCTCAGGTTTTTAGAGTGTGAAAAAAATAGTCTCAATTGAGAGAGTTAAAGCTTGCAAGTTGCATCTTCCCCTCATCTCTTTAGGCCTCTGACTGTGAAGATGCTGCTGAGGCAGCTATTGACGATTTAGGGATTTCATGCCTTACAAAAGCTCTTGGCATTACAGAAGGCATCATACTGGGTTTCTCATGATCCTTAGCTGTGACTTGGTTCGCAAAGTCCTTGTCTGGAAAAAATACTTGAGCAGCATCTAGACTGTTACAGAGCAAATTCATGCTTAGAACACGTAGTTCAGACGCTCTCTTTCTGTTCCACAGTTTTCTACACTCTTCTCCAAATACATCACATGAAACTTTTTTCTCTGATCCTTTCGACACTTCATGCTACGCATGCCTGAAGCACTTTCCCCATGTGCAGTCCCTGCACAGTGCTCTGTGAGCTCTCAGGCCCAGTCCATGCCATGCTCCCACATCTTTACACCCGTGCACTGCACAGCTGCCTGCTCCTCACACCACCCATCATTCACAGCCACCTAATAACATAAAGCACTACATAAGCACCCATATTTCCATTTACATGCGTGCTATTACATGTGCCCACCATCCCCTGCGTTTTCTTGAGCCTGCACCCATCTCATGCGGCAAATGAAGGATGAGCTGTTTCTGGGCATGAGGAGAGCGCCTGCTCCCAGCCAAGAGCCCCCAAGCCATCCTGCTGACACTCACCAGGTAGCACTGGGGATGTCTCTGGCCCATTCCTTGGTACTTGTATGCAGGGGCAGGTGATGGAAGGGGAATTCCTTCTTCTGGCTTCTGCCACTCCGGGTCTGCAGTCTCGCTGAGAGCCGAAGCTGTAGCTTGGCCAGTAAGGAGCTTTTTAAATCTTGTTCCTCTCTCTCCACGTGACTAATCTGCACAGACTTCCTACACTAGGCAGCGGCACTCACATATTGCTTCTGGAAAAATAGGGCCTTACTAAGGAACACCCTTTTCCCCACAGTGGTCTCAATTAGCTGAGCTTGATTATGATATCTATTGTGGGAGGAATCTAGAAAGCCCCCACTTATTTCCTAGGAGAACTAAATCACTGTGTGCATGCATATATATATATAAATATATATGTATCTGCCTTTAGTTTTTGCATGGAAAGTGTGTGCAATCTGGTTAATGTAATATTTGCTGCACCCTCAAGGTAAGAAAGTCCTCAATTGGATTTTATAAAAAAGTTGCTTAATCTTGAATCTGTCTGGATCTTGTTATGCCTAATGGAGCCTGACAGCAGGTAGAGTGGCAGTCAGGGAAGGGAATATTGTATTTAGAAATCTCAATGGAGACAGGCAAGATGGCATGCTGTTAGCAGTGTTCCACTTTTGACTGGAAAATAGGTGATATCTTACTTTAAAAAATAGTCAGGCATTGCTGGATTAGTCATTAATTATTTAAATGCGTGTCTGTCATTCTCTTGGTAAGGTATAGGAGAATACACTCTGTGTTGTAATAGTAAGCTGGGATTGTCACTGTCATACCTTCACGTCTATGTAGAAAAAAACCCCAATGAACACTTCAGTGCGTGCCCCTAGACCTCAGTTTGCTGCGGGTGTGAAGGCTCGTTGACAGCAGGGCTTGCATCCACAGGCTCCAGCAGCACAGCACAGCCCTCTGCCACTGATCTGGCAGAACTGCAGGAGCTGGCTGCTGTCCTTCCTGTGAACCAGCACCAGAGGGGCTCTGTCGAACCGTGTGTCTTAGAACAGCTGTTGCATTCAGAAGGGTCTTGCGTTGTGCAAAGTTTGCTGTACTTGACAGAGCTTGGCATGCGTGCCAGACTAAGCAGTGGTTGAGAAGGGATGGGAATGCCTTATTAAGCATCACTGAGAAAGCAAGTAACAAAACAGCAGCAGCATTGAAACCAGAGGACAAAAGAGTAATGATAAAGGTAGTTGGATAAAGAGAAGAGTTCTAAGTATCAGAGCAATGAGTATAGAGGGTTGTAGGATTTTGTTTAATGGACAGGGTTGCATGATGATGTTGCTTGTGAGAGCTTGGGTTTGGAGGCCCTTGTTGTAATCCAATATATCATGAAAAGATTAAAAAAGGACATAGGATGTATGAACCACCTCTTTGATTTCATGTCCTGATATATCCACAGAAACCCTGAGCTCACTCTGGCTGTTGGGCTTATCAGCACTGAAAGACTAAACATTTTTCAAATGAACCACATGAGCTGAATGCAGTTAGGTTTGGTTATTCTGTGATAAAAGAAACTCGGACAATAGCCAATTGCGGTAGGAACTGGGAGCAAAGTAGAGAACAGCTTTCTTACTAAATCAATGTTAAATCAATTTCTAGCGATAGGAACATGGCAGTGGCAGGGGTGTGCCCATCTTTCTAGTTATCAGGTAGAGGACACCGTGCTGCTGACTGTATGAGACACCTTTTGATGACAGCAGATGTATTGGCTCCAGTTCGTTGGTTGTTGTGTGCAGGTTGGGAAGTTTCGCTTTTCAGTATCTCTAAGATCACGTTGCCATTCCAAATGTTGAGTTTACTTAGCATTTAGAAGCTTTGTGTTGTGTTCTTAGGAGGCTGTTGTTATAGCATCTCATCCCTACAACCAGAGAAATACATCTCTCTCACCGAGAGGGCCCATCCGTGTTGGTCCAAGTCTGCATATTGACAGCTGGTCTGCCGTACTACAAACTGCCTTCAGGCTGAAGGCAGATATTATAGAAGTTCTCTAGGATGTGCTGACATTGCATTTGCAAAAGAAAACCAGGTTAAAAGGGAAGGTAACTGACTTCTTCCTATAACTGACTATAGTAACATTGTTGTTTTCTCCAGTCAAGCTGTTTGAGATCATCACAACCTCCCAGGTTTATTTCCTGGGACCCACTACCTCAGCACTGGTTGCCTTCTGCAAGGCAGCCATCAGGGTTACCCAGGCAGATATCCCATGGCACCTGATTCATCTTAGATATATTGGATCACTCCAGCTCGGGCTCTGTGGCTGGGTGTTGCTCTGTGTAAAATGGCTGAGGTAACCAGGAAACATACAATCAGTGTGGAGAAAATCTTTTTTCAATCTGACCGCATGAAGTGCATTTCATCCTCTTCTTTTCACCTTGGTTTGTGCAGGGGCCAGGAAAGGGTGAGAACACTCACCAACCTAAGGTCTGCTTTGAGCAGTAAGGGAACCAGAACACTTGAGTCTGCTGTGATCTATCTTTTTGGTCCATCCTGTTCTATCTACGTGCAATCTCTATTTACTAGTTAAAAGAAACCTTCCTTGAACAAAAATGGCCTAAATTTCAGTGAAGTCTTCTCAGCAGTTTGTGAATTACAAATAATTCCAACCTGGAACAGGTTGCCCAGAGAGGTGGTGGCTGCCCTGTCCTGCAGACTGCAGTCAAGGGCAGGCTGGATCAGGCCCTGGGCAGCCTGATGGAGCTGTGGTGTCCCTGTGCTCTGCTGAGAGTTGAACTAGATGGCTTTTAAAGGTTCCTTCCAACTCTAAGGATTCTGATTTGATGATTATCAGCTATGACCTTCATCTTAAGGGGATCTTGCTTGCTTTTTTCCCCACCTGTATTTTAAGTTTGGTCAGAAGCAGTTATGAACACCCATTCTACTCTGTCATTTCCAGGTGATAGTCCTGTAGTTTATGGAAGATATTCTTGTTTCTAATCCTTGAAGACCAGGTTCAACATTTTATTCTGTTCATTTCCATCTTGTCTCCATTTTTGTAATTCCAGGGCTTAAGAACATCAATTTTTCCTGTGCGAGCACCATTCTTCCCACCTTTGCTGTTGTCTGCCAACTTCGCCACCTCCAAATTTAATTAGCAAGCACAAACTTTTATATGTGTGTATTATTAATGCAAATATTAAATAAGCTCATTCCCAATAACAGATCTTTTGGGATGTATAACCTCATTCCAAGCCTATAATTATCCTTACAACACAACATACTATTATTTTGTCAGTTTCATTCCTGCCTTAACGGTTCTTTTATTTATTCTCACCTCCTCTGCTCAGGTTAACAATTAAACTGTCATTGTAACAACTGCTTTTCTGAATTACTGATAGGTTAATATCTACTTCATTGTCCTTGTTTTTATAAAAGGCAGTTATCAAAATAAGATACCAGATTAATCTGGCTTCATTTGGAAGTCTGGGTTTTGTGAAGTGTTTTAACAGCCTAATTATTAAATGAGAGTAGGATAATGGGAACTCCACATGGTCGTAGGATTACATGCATTTCCCTAATCGAGGATTTCACAAAAATAC